ATATATATATATATATATATATATATATATATATACTAAAAAGTTTTGGCCCTGTAAAATTGTTTTATGCTCACCAAGACTGTATTTATCTGTTTAATGATTTTGTCAAAATAAAATAAATTATGAGCAATATTTAATATATTTTAAAATGTAATTTATTGTAATGGCAAAGTAGAATTTTCAGCAGCCCAGTGTCACATGATCCTTCAGAACTTATTCTAATATGCTGATTTGGTGCTTAAGGAACATCTCTTATTATTATCAATGAAAACAGCTGTGCTGCTTTATGTTTTTGTGGAAACAGTGATACGTTTTTGTTTCTTTAATGAATAGGAAGTTCAAAAGAACAGCATTTATATGAAATATTTTTTGTAGTATTGTAAAAGTTTTTACTGTCTGTTTTGGTCAGATTTCAATTACTTTAAAAAATATATATATTTCTGACCCCAAATTTTTGAATGGTAGTAATTCTATTCATATTCATATATTCTTATTGATATATTCAGTCATATTTGATGATAATATTTGATTATATTGCATTACTTAATAATAATCCATTTTCTTTCAATAAATATACTTGTGATTTCAAATATTAAGTCATGCTTTAACCTTACAGCTTAATTAATAGCTTTAATTTGAAAGATATTATAATATAGCATTGTACGTATTTATTCGTTTTATATTATAGCTTCCCGTACCGGTGTTGAAGTTCAGTTTCACTGGAATTCCTAATTTGCGTACATCATTCCACATCATCAAAAAAAGCTCATGTGAAATGTGGCAATTCAAGGTTCCTGTTTTGTTGTGCAGTATTTTTGCTCTGCTCTGTTATGGGTTTTGGTGGTTAAAAAATACAGGATCTCAACAGCCACCCAAACACAGTAATACCTCTTTAACCAGAAAGAGTTTCCTCATTAAAATCACACTTCAACAGAAAGAGACCCACAGAGCGAATGAGAGTGAGAGAAGGATGGAGAGGAGGGGTAAAAGGAGATCATGAGGAGAGGAACAGGGTAGAGGGATGACATCATCTCTCCTGCTCTCTCTGCACTGTTTTCTTGCCCTAGCATGCATGGAACAGGGTAGAGGGATGACATCATCTCTCCTGCTCTCTCTGCACTGTTTCTTCCCGTAGCATCTCTCTCTCTCTCTCTCTCTCTCTCTCTCTCTCTCTCTCTATGCCCCACTGTTGCTTATTGGCCACTCTATATTTAGCAGCTTTGCATGTACAACATTACAGCATGTTTATTAGAGACGACTGAACTAACTGGAGTGATATTTAACTTCAGATGTAAAATTGTTGCTATTTCTTCACACAAGTCATTATAGTTTTCACATTCTTTCCATGATTTAAGTTCATTTCAAATTCATATTTCATTCATACTCTAATCTTTGGTCTTACCCTCATGTGCTGCGCGTTTCCAGTTTCTTGTGTCTCCGCCTTCTTTCCCTCTCACACTTTTCCCTGGACAATTTCGTTTTTTTCTGTTCTGACTGCTGTGGCTGTGTCATGCTCTCTTGCACCCTATCCTTCCCTCTGACTACAAACAAACACAAACCGCTACATAACCACCTCTTTTCATCACATCCCTCTCTTTATTTGCACGTTCTGTTTATTATTTATTCTATCTGTCTCCTTTGGCCTAGCTTGCTGCACGCCGACCCACTTGGTTTGAGTCTAGCTGTTGCAGACTGTTAAGACTAATACACTTTTAATGGAGAGTTATTGTACAAAGTGCCATGCTGAGGCTAAAAAAAAGAGAGAATGATTCACAAGTCGTTGTACAGGAACAGTAGGGTATGTACGTTGTGTTGAGTTTTTGGATGAATGGAGTGGATTGTCATGGTTATTGTGGCTCGAGGTGCAACGTCCACAGAGGGGTGAGACAGCACGGGGTTAAAGATAGCACCCGCTAATCCTGTTAACACCAGACGCCTCCACTCATTTCTCATTAGCATCCCGTCCATCCACTTCAAGAAATCTGCATTAATATACTCTATAGATCCAAGTGTCTGTGTAACTCCAGCAATCTTTAATGTAATTGTGCCATGTGAGTGCATACACTTTTAAAAATAACGGTTCTTTATTGACATTGATGGTTCCATGAAGAACCTTTAAAATCCATGGACCCTTTCCATTGCACAAAAGGTTCTTTTAAGTTCACTGAAAGGTTCTTTGAGGAATCAAAAATGGTTCTCCTATTGCATCGCTATGAAAACCCTCTTTTGGAACCTTAACATTACAAAAAGTGCTGAAAAGAACATCAGTGTGTAAAAGGATAGTTTATCGAGAAATGACAATTCTGTTATTATTTATTTATTATCTCCTAAACCTGTATAAATGTGGAGCATAAAAGAAGGTATTTAGAATTTTTTCACAAGTCACTGGTCACCAAAACTGTTTGGTTACCAACTTTCTGCAAAATAGATTCTTTTGTGTTCTGCAAAAGAAAGAAAATCACACAGGCTTGGAATGACATGAGAGTCATGAGAGTAAATTTATTTTTTAATTTTGGGGTGAACTTTTACTTTAATTTAAAGGTTCTATGGATGTTAAAGGTTCTTCATGTATACATAGATGCCAATATAGAATCTTTATATGTGTACAATGCCAGGTTTATTAGCAAGCTAGACTAGGAAAGACGGTAAATAGTAAATGTGCAGTGTAATTGTGTATATTGTAAAAGTATATTTGTGTCCTAGATTAATTACATCTTCTCTCCTTCCTGTCTCACAGATGCTCCCGTGGCAGAAATTCATGACTTGTTCTGTAAGAAGCTGCAGCAGTGTTGTGTGCTTTTTGACTTTCTGGACTGTGTGGCCGACCTGAAGGGAAAAGAGATCAAACGTGCTGCGCTGAACGAGCTTGTGGAGAGCGTGGCCACCAGTCGCGGAGTCCTCATCGAACCCCTGTACCCAGAGGCAATTAAGATGGTGAGATGAATCGCGAAAGAGAGAAAAAGTGATGGAGTAGGATGGGATTTGATAAAAGAGCAGAGTTGGCATGGGGAGGATAAATCGTTGAGGGATACACAGGATCTCCAATGCTCTAAAGTGCACTTAAAGACTCAGAAGCATTTACGTTTCCTTGTGTTTAGCTACATTAGCTCTGTACAATATGTAGCTGAAATACAAAAATACCTTAATTGGAAAGCAATTGATTTTTGTTAACCGGTCCTTTTATGTTTTGATGTGAAAGACAAAGGGAAGAATTCACTAAGGATGAATTTGCGCCCTCTGATAATACAGTTTATTTGCATATGCTGTTGCGTTGTTTTTTAGCCCCTCATTCACTAGAGGAATTATGCAAATCAGGTAACAATGAATTACTGTTGCTCTGATCAGTAGAAATGTACACAAACATCTTTTAAAATGAAATTCCATTTACCTGAAATTCCATTCAACTGAAATGCACAACTGTGCAAAGCAAATAGCGATGAGCTCCTGTGAAATCTCGCCAAAATTGTTTGGTTTCCAACAGAATTTTAATTTCTTGGTCAACTATCCCTTTAATTTAAATGCTCACAGCATTGCACAATTTTGTTTAACTGGATTTCAATTGGTTTGTGAGTAATTTTTTTTTTATGTGAAATAGCTGTCAAGTGAATTTGCATTTGAATATGGTCATAGATTTGTACAATGTTTTATATTCTGATGTCACCAATCTGATGTCATCTGGTATTACCATCTTACCATTTTGAAGCAAGGAAGCTCATAAAGGCGAACAATTAAAAATGACTTTAGAACAGGGGTTCTCAACTCTGGCTCTTGAGGATCACTTTCCTTTTCCTTTTTTCAAACGAAATTTTGAGTCTTTCATTATCATTTGTTATTCATCATTTATTGTCTTATTTCAATGCTTTAGTAAAACACAACCTTTCAACCCCTCTTCTTCCTGTAGATCTCAGTGAACATTTTTCGAACTCTCCCACCCAGTGAGAACCCTGAGTTTGATCCGGAAGAGGACGAACCAGCTCTGGAAGCCTCCTGGCCTCACTTACAGGTACATGTGCATTCTCAAGTTCTTATATACACAAACACACTAACACATATACTGACACCATGGGGTGAGAAATCATTATGAGTTTTTTATAGCTTGTGTCCCAGCTCTGATCCCATTTCCTCTCTCTTTCTCTCCTATCCTTTTTTTTTATCTAGTTGGTGTATGAATTATTTTTACGCTTTCTTGAGAGTCCAGATTTCCAGCCTTCTCTTGCCAAGCGCTACGTGGACCAGAAGTTTGTTCTACAGGTACAGAGCTTGTATAGATGTAGAGATATAGGTATAGAGGCCTTGTGTGATTTTTAACAATTATAATTTGTAAACATAAGAATGCTGCAATGTAATTTAAAAAATAATATATTTGTTATTCTGCATTTTTCTTTACACTAATATATAATAAAATAAATGCATAATGAATTCATGTGGATGAATATGGACAAGTGGACTCAAGGCGATCATAAGTGATCTTAGCCCATTTTAAAGTCCGGTCTTTAGAGACAAACATTGCTAGTTTGTAGTTTTGGCACACCCTGTTGAACATTTTCAGTGTGATTTTATGTTTCTTTTTTTTTTTTCTTTTAGCCTTGATATCTTCGAGCAGCAATATGAGATTTTAAATGTGTATTGTATCATAGTCAAATTGCAGTATTTATCAGATACCCTACAGGCAGTCTAACCTCCATGTTGGACTGTTAGTATTTCTGATACTACTCACACCAATTATACATATTCATGAGTAGTGCTTTTAATAAAGTGCAAAAGGGCTGACTATGTGTGTGTGTGTGTGTGTGTAGCTGCTGGAGTTATTTGACAGCGAGGACCCCAGAGAGAGAGAATATCTGAAGACTATCCTGCACCGTGTCTATGGCAAACTTCTGGGCTTGAGGGCCTACATCCGCAAACAGATCAACAACATCTTCCTCAGGTCAGTCATACAGACAAAACGCATGAGCACTATTGATATTACACAGCCAGTGACTGCTTTTTGTTAGTCTTTATGTCTGCCATTATATCTATTTTTAAAATCTGCAGGTTCATCTATGAAACTGAGCGTTTCAATGGAGTTGCTGAACTTCTGGAAATTTTGGGAAGGTAGATACACTTTCAAACTGTCAAAGTAGAAAGCACATTAAGTGTGTGTTAAAAATCAGATCAGATGATGTTTATAAAGCAACCCAATGTAAATTAGAAGATTATAAGGTAGATCCCTGTGGTTTACTCATTGTTTCCAGAGTTAGGAGGTACATATAGCATCTTATGATATTTGTACTATAATCTTAAATTAGTAAATGATAGTGTTACGTAACTTAATGTAGCAGCAAATTACTGGAGAGATGCTTTATGGTGTGTGAGCTGGTGATTCAGACTCTTAGCAGAGACCTCCAACATCAGCACTCGCTGCGTGTTCTGCAGTCATGTTTCCCATCCTCAGCGTGTCCAGCCATATAATTCACAGCCATGTTCTCAGTGGAACCAGTGCTGCTTTGCATATTGGGTTCAATGCACACAAAATGGTGTCTGATTCTCGATGTGTTTAATAGCATAAACAAAGCAAACCTTTGAGAGAAGCAGGGGAAGAGAGAGACAACCAGGGGGAGGCATGAGTCAGAGTGTTGGGGATGGAGGTCTAAATTCAGGTTGATGCCAGTAGTATTTATAGTGCCTCCCACCCACACATCTCTCTGATCACTACTGAAGAGAGAATGAGGAAGAGAGAGAGATAGAGCTGTAGAATTAGAGCGAGAAACGATGGGTCCCATGCAGAAAAATATGCATTTTATGTTCTTTTACTATATATTTTTAAATATATGGTCAAAAACATAATCAGAAAAGGATATTGATAATATATATTATATGAAAATTTGAAAATATATATTTTTTAAATCTACAGATTTTTTTGGCATTTTTAAAAAATATAATTAAGGTAATAGAAATATTCTAATCTAGAAATATATTATAGTACAGAATAATTTAATAAATATATAACGTGCCATATTTTGTAAAATACAGAAAAATATGTTTAAATAGTTTGATCATTGTCAATTTTAAAAACGCCACAAATTTAAACAAAATATATTTTCAATTTAGATAACATTTCATTGAACCATTCTGTTTACAGTGCATTTGAAACTGAATTTTGCCAGATAAAATATGTATATTTTGCTATATGCAGTCAGATAAGCAAAGTAAACAAACAGGAAGAGAAAGAATGCAATAGAAGGAGAGACAGGCAAGAATTACGGAGAGAATGTATGTGTAAAATGAGAGAGAAAGACAAAGAGCGAAGAAGATAGAGGGTGGATGGTACAATAAAAGAGAAACAGAGACAGACAGTATGGATGGAATGGAATTAAATAGCAACTAAGCAATGGGAGGAACAGCCTGAGTAGAAGAACAAAGATAAAACTAAGGAAATGAGAGGAAGAGAGGAGGAGACAGTCAGAAAGAGAGGAAGGATGAGGGGGGTTTAGCAGGGGATTAGCTGATGAACAATAATGTGGCGAATGAGTGTACAGAGCATGATCAGGACGTCTGATACTAATCCTGTTTATTCTCCTTTTTCTCTTTTCCGCCTCCTCCCCTCTGCTCTCCTCTCCTCTCCTCTCCTTTTTTCCAGTATCATAAATGGCTTTGCTCTGCCTCTCAAATCAGAGCACAAGCAGTTCCTGGTGAGGGTCCTGATCCCCCTGCACACTGCCAAGTCTCTCTCCATTTTTCATGCACAGGTTAGATTCAGACGCCCAGACACACTCACACTGGGATGCACATAGAGATCTGATGCTGTTAATTAATGGACTGTAATGGGCTATCATACCACAAGGGGGCGCTAAATACTAACGCTAAATCCAGTGGCCCCAAAAAGTGTACACTTATAGAGAGAGTTCACACAACTATCATTTACTCACGGTCATGTTGTTCTAAACTCTGCTTAACATTATTTTGTTCTGTGATTATATCTGTTAAATTGTAATCTCAAGCAGAAATGACTTCATACATCCACTAAAATGACTGGTTGGTTAAAAGTCATTGCAAGATAAAATTGAAAAAAAATCCAGCATTATTATTATTGTTATTTTATTTTTTGCTGATTCTACTTGGTTTGATAATTCTATGCAATAACATTAATACATTTTTAGTGACCAGAAACAATTTTGGGACCACTGTATTAAAGTCTGAACTTATTTGCCTTTGTGTGTATAAATGTGTGTGTATGGCTGACTGTTTACACATACACTTTTCAAAAGATTGTGGTCAGTAAGATTAAGTATTTATTTATTTAAAGTGCTTTTGTAATATTAGTACTGCCTGTTTGTATATGTCTATAAGTGTGTGTGTTTGTGCATGTGTGTATTCTGAAAGTGCGTGTCCTACATTCCTACACTCGCCCTTTCCCTTGTCAATATCACCCCATCCATAATTCAGTGGCCACACTCCGGGCTGTTTATACTTCCTACTTGCCACAAGGGCCTATAGAGCTCTCCCAGGGAATGTCTTCGGGTGGCCAAACTTATTTTATGTAGCTTCCACCGAAACAGAAGCACAGTGCAGCCAAATCCTTAATCACACTTCCCTCAAGGCTTCTTCAGAACATCACACGTTTCTGGAGAGCTCTTAGTGAGATGAAAGGCTAAATACCGAACTCTATTTTTATAAACTGTTTTGTCACCAGCATTAAAAGTGCATTTCAGTGATTCTTTTGACCTCCGTATAACCCATGACTGTTGTGATTTGGTTACTATTTTATTTGTTTGCACAGGAACTAATGGTGAGTGGTTGAGTTAAGTCTGGGGGATTTATACTGGATGATTAGAGCTTAGTCCCCATTGAGCCTCAAACTACTGAATGACACCAGGGGATATATTTTCACTCAGGTGTCTCTTGGGTATGGGATTTTTATCTTGTGCTAAAAGATACCAAAGCCTTGTAAAGTGTTGAGATTTAATCTTAGTTTTACTTTGGCTTGTAATTTACTGTTTATGGTTGGTTCTCAGGTAGACAAAACATATGAAGACACACACACATATGCACACACACACATATGGAAACCTGTTTCTGCCTGCTATTTAAAAAAAATAAGATAATTGTGAGATGAAATTTAAAATGAGAATAAACAATTACTTTCAGAACTGTGAGATATAAAGTCAAAACTGTGAGATACAGTTACAAATGTGCTTCCATTACCTTCTACGTAAATTCAGACACATGCACATAAACATAACCTCACAAGATAAACATCTGAACCTTTTTGTAAAGCACTACATAGACTGAGAACTAAGAGGATAATTATGATGTTCTCATTGGGAAAGAATAAGAGAGAAAAAAAGGGAGTTAACAGTGCTATTACCCCCTGGGGAAAGACAGAGGTTTTATGTGACATCAGCCCTTCCAAAGTACACACACACACACACACACACACACACACACACACACGTGTAACCTCCCTTTGGTGCGCAGACTAGGATGTCGTCATTTAGTTATGTAGAGTCTCAGTGGTTCTTCTTGAGTCTATCATTTATTATGCTCAAATCACTGTGAACCCGTTGAGTTGGTTCATTAACATATTGTATTGAAGTCCAGATTTTTTAGTTACTTTAAACACAATGCATTCATTCAGTTTATATATCTGACATGAAGTGTGTCTGGCCTAGGGTAGGAGTTTTGATGCCAAGGACAAATATGATGATCCTCATGAAAGGGATCCACTTCCTAAAATATAAACTCAGCTATATCTAAATGATGTTTATGTTTTCATGTACTAAAACATATTTTTATGTGTACTAAATTTGAAATGTTCATATATGTATTAAATCCTACTAAATTATTATTGTTTACTTAAAAGATATTAATATTGGGTCTAAAATTGAAGTTACTCAATATTAATTTCTTGTTTATTGAGGTGCTGTATAAAAGTAATATCACACTTGCTGTTTTTTTTTTCTGAAAATCATCATGGTTGTGATTACTCTTGCTCATGTGATATTGCTTAAATTATATTTATATTCATTTGCTATATTTATATTTAATGTTTGTTGTATTTCCAATTGTTTTCTTTTTTGCAGTTAGTTGATATGGACTTTATCCAATTTCTAGAGCTTGCACCTAACTCAGGCTTTCTCACATACACCCACATAATGTACTGAAAGTGCAAGCTTCGCCACTGAGAAGGTGTCTGGTGTGATGCTCACAAGAAACAGGACATGTGCTTTCACCATTGTGCCCTTGTGCAAGGCAAATCACCTAAAGTTCTTCCAGGAGGACTGTCCCTCTTAAAAGTTGATCATATTAAGCAACATTTAGGAAAAAAGTACTGTAATGCCATTTTCATGTGTGCCATGTAACTACACGCAATATCTAACCAGCTTATACTGCAGGTTTACTATTGCTGTACTGCACAGTATCTGTACAGTATCTGCACAGTACATATGCTACACATCGTGTTTCGCATAAAGTTACACCTACATTATTGGCACCTACGAATGTATTTTTCAGTACAGACATGCATCACGTCAGTTCATTGACTGCTGCAGAAACTCTGGTGATGATAAAGCCATGTGGTGGCATTTGGGATCTTGAGTAGAAGAATGGTTTATTTGTGAAGTTAGCTCAGTGCTTCAGATCAAACCATGAACATCAGATAAGGGCTGTAATCTTTTTCTCACAATGAAAGAGTG